GGCAGCCACTCCTCCGCCGGAACTCTCTCCGTTTCCCGGTCGCCGTCGCCGGAAATCTGCATGGGACCCCGTAGATCCGTCATGGAGATGTGTTGTGACGTGGCTCGAGAACCGCTTTCTAACGATTCCGACGCAAGAAAATCGATCAACCTGTTTTCTCTCATCGGCATCGTTTTGATTTTGCTGTCTCGTTGTAACGTGATTGTGTAATTCTATATGAACATGTAAGAGTGTATATATATATATATGTCTGCTGTTTCTTTTTTCTTCCTTTTTTGACTATGAAAAATAAATAATATATGTATGATATTGGGTAATTTTTATATTACCTCTGTTATGCTAAAACATTTTGGTATTTTCTTTGACAAACATGCTAACAAATTCAGCAGAAATAAAAAAAAAAAGTATCCAAATTGTGCTGTTTTTTTTTTGTGGAAAATTTTTCCATGGGTAATTTACTCGATTTTTGTTATTTTTTTATTTATATTTTTCACATTTATAACATGAACCTACACAAAACTTATGTGGACTTCAGTAATTTTTTTTTCTTTTTTTCTTAGTGTCTTAAAATCAGAAATTTTTAAAAGATTAAGTGATGATTTAAACAACAAATACATTACATTATTCAAGATATTTCACGAACTTAAACTAAATATATAATTATCGAGCATTTTTGTCATTTTAAAATAATAACTCGTACTCAAACTACAAAACGTACAACCTTAATTATATTAAAAATGTAATAGGAAAATGCGTTATGGCAAAATATAAAAAAAAAAAGGAAACAAAATTTTATTAATGGAAAGAGAGCCTCTTAAGGATTTTTGTTTATGTTCACATCTTCCTCGAACCTTCCGGCGGACCATTTACCAACGCAGCATGACGTGGGATGGTGACGTAAGCGACCACGTCACATTTCGAATTGTGCAATCACTTAATGGCCACAACCTAAGCTTGCTTTAGTCCATAATATAATTACGATTTATGTCCCACAAATTCCCAATGCAAATATATTTTGATAGATTTTAAAGTTTTTTAGTTAAATTCCAATAATTAAGACATCTTCGATTATACATTCAATATAAATTATAAAAATTTAAATATTCTATTGATAGATTTTAAAGTTTTTTTCTAACAAATTTTAGAATCACTTTAACGGTTTTTTAGTCAATGTAAAAAAAAAATAAAACAAAAATAAGTGGCCAAAACAATCAAATACACAAACTCTTTGAATATTTTAAAAAATTTTCTTTTATTGAATGAGTAAGGTATTCAAAGTTTACAGGCGAAGCTAAAATATTTACAATATAATTTCGTACGATATTATACATAAAAAATAAACGTGGGTATATAATATATTAGAAATATTTAGGCACCGGAGAAAAGAAATTGAAAATTTTGAGAATTTTAAAAGTAATATAAGAAAAATGCAAATGGAAACTCAACTTTATGTTGGCAGCTGAAGGAAGTCGTGAACCCACTTTGTTTGAACGGCACCAAGACTGCGAAAATAATTACTTGGATTTTGGATTTTTTTTAATTAATATATATGCCTAATTTTCTTTTTTGGCTATTGGTTTTGGAATTACAAAAATTTGAAAATTAATTATGTTGGAACAAGGAAACTGCAGGACCATGTGAGCAACAAACAAGTATGGGCAAGACATTGGACAAAGGGGAGCATGGGGCTTCTACATTAAAGAATTAAGAGTGAGACAAAATACATGGGAAGGTGGAGTCCCTTGAGAACAGTGTTTTTGGGGGTTACAATCTGAAGCGTTGCTGTGCGGCAGATATATATATATGGGAAGCGACAGGAAAGCGGGCGTGGAGTTTATGGCTATGGTGAGAGCTTTCTATGATTGGTGAGAGTAACTCTGAGTGAATGTGAGGTACATCTGAGGGGGAGTCTTCAATCAAACAGACGAACTGCTCAGTGATTCTAGATGAAGTCTAGAGTGACACGTGGTGTGTGCTTCACACAAGGTGTCTGAGAGTCGATAGAGTTTCTTGTGTATCAGGGGTTTTACTCAGGGGGAGTAAAACGGACTGGGTTGAGTGATACTTGTACTTGAGTGAAGTGTATCTGACTCATAAGTCTAGAGTGACACGTGGTGTGTGCTTCACACAAGGTGTCTGAGAGTCGATAGAGTTTCTTGTGTATCAGGGGTTTTACTCAGGGGGAGTAAAACGGACTGGGTTGAGTGATACTTGTACTTGAGTGAAGTGTATCTGACTCATATCAAAGAAACAGAATCGATGTGATTATTCTCAATCCAAGTTGTTGTGTGAGTATACTTTTTCAATTGGTATCAGAGCGGGTCACTGATCGTAGGAGTCACTCCTCTCATATCGGTGTACGGTCCAAATTCACACAATGGAAGGCTTTAAAGAACTGCAAACTCTTGGGAAGACGACCGTGCTTGACTCCACCAACTATGGACATTGGAAAGTCAAGATTAGCTCGTACATTCGCGGCCTGGATGAAGATACTTGGAACACTGTCACTGATGGCTGGACACAACCGACTGATACTGTCGATGGAGTGACAAAGCCTAAACCAAAGAATGAATGGTCAGCTCAAGAGAAGAAGGATTCAGCCTTGAATCAGAAAGCTCTTTCAATCATTTTCAGCAGCGTCAATCAGGAGGAATTTGAGCAGATCCAAGGATGTCAAACTGCGAAGGAAGCATGGGATACTCTCGAACTTATTCACGAAGGGACATCCAAAGTAAAAAGGAACAGACTCGACATGATAGACCTTCAGTTCGAGCGTCTAAGGATGGGGGACAATGACAGTATAAAAGAGTTTTGTGGAAAACTGAGTGCCTTGTCAAATGAGGCAAGTGTACTTGGTCGGAAGATTTCTGATGATCGCCTTGTGAAGAAGCTTCTGAACAGTTTGCCAACTAAGTATCACTCTCAGATCTTAGTTTTTGAAGGGGTCAACAACCTGGACACTGTCACATTTAAGGAAGCTGTAGGAACTTTTGCGGCCCATGAATTGAGACTACAACTCATGAATGATGGATCACCTGTACAAACCAAAAGAGGAGTTGCACTATGTGCTCCTGAGGTAAAAGAGAAATCAACTGAGCTTGATGTAAGACAACCATTGAAGAACAAACAAACATCTGAAGAGGAGCTGAAGGAAGAGATGTCCCTCATCGTAAAAAGATTCAACAGGTTCTTCAAAAAGGCAAGGAGAGGACCCAGAGCACAAGATGACAGAGAAGCAGGGAAGTGTCTAGAATGCAAAGGAACAGGACACTGGAAGGCGACTTGCCCAAGCATCACACGAAGAGAAAGTGTGCTGAAACATCTGAAAGAAATTCAGTGCTTCGAGTGCAAAGGGTTTGGACACACGAAAATGGAATGCATAAAACAGAAGGGGAAGTCACTAATTACACATGAGGAAGAAACGTCAGACACGGAAAGCGATAGTGACGAAGACAACATGACCAACTTTGTGGCTTTTCTTGGTGTCATTGAGGAAGAAGAGAATCAGATTGAAGACAGTGATGGTGAAGAAGTAACCGAAGAAGATATCCTTAAAGAAATGACGAGGCTTGTTGAAATGAACAAACTACTGATTAGTGACAAACAACAGTTGGAGAAGGACCTCGAACAGACACAGGTCCAACTCATGGCCACCCAACGGAAATTGACTCAAAAAGAAGAGGAAGCATCACAGATGAAGTGTCAGTTGGAAGAAACCAAGAAGAACCTATACCTTCTGGGTAGTGGAACTGGGAAACTCGACCATTTACTGAGCCAAGGAAGGAGTGTTAGAGACCAATCAGGATTAGGATATCATGGAAAACCTCAGTCCCAGGGTAAATTTATGTATGGAGGAGAACTCAACCAAGAAATCCCTGGATCAATACGAACAAGGACTCACTTAACACAGACAACAAGGAGAAATCAGTGGTCAAATCAAGAAACTCGGACCTGCTATCACTGTGGAAGAAAAGGACATGTCAGAAGAAACTGTCGATATCTGAATGGAATCAGGAGTACACGCAGGTATACCTCATTCACTTACCAATACCCTCCATGGAATCTCAGATGGATTCGGAAGTCAGACCTGACTTGCAATGTAGCCTACACAACAGACAATGACTGCAGAATGGGAAGTTGGTACTTCGACAGTGGATGCTCCAGACATATGACTGGAAGCAGAGAACTACTGAAAGACTTCACAGTAACCTCGAAAGGGGGTAGCGTTACATTTGGGGATGGTAAACAAGGAAGGATCCTTGGTAAAGGAACACTGGATGGGGCAGGAGTACCAAAATTGATGGATGTTAAAGTCGTACAGGGGCTGAAAGCAAATCTAATCAGCATAAGTCAGTTGTGCGACAGTGGAATGCGAGTTAAGTTCACAAAGAACGCATGTTTTGTTACTGATCTAAATAACAGATGCGTATTGTCAGGAAAAAGGAACTCAAACAACTGCTACACCTGGGTAGATACTGAAAGGTCACCTCCACATCACACGTGCATGTTGACAAAAAGGGATGAGATGAGCCTGTGGCATCAGAGACTGGGGCACATCAACGTTCGAGCCTTGGTAAAGCTGTCTAAGTCAGGAGCAGTTCGGGGAATGCCAGAACTATCTCACAGCGATGAGTTCGTGTGCAAAGCTTGTCATTTGGGTAAACAGGTTCGCATACGACACAAGAAGTCAGAGGAGATACACACTACACACATTTTAGAGCTTATGCACATGGACCTCATGGGACCAATGCAAACTGAAAGCTTAGGAGGAAAGCGGTATGTACTTGTGTGTGTTGATGACTATTCCAGATTTACGTGGGTTCGCTTCTTACGGGAAAAGTCTGAAACTTGTGTTGCTTTTCAACATCTCTTCTTACAATTGAAGAATGGAAAAGGCAGCGTCGAACGTGTAAGGAGTGATCATGGCAGAGAATTTGAAAATGATGCGTTTCAGGAATTCTGTAACATACATGGAATTTCACATGAGTACTCAACGCCCAAAACCCCTCAACAGAATGGAGTGGTTGAGAGGAAGAACAGAACGATACAGGAAATGGCTAGATCAATGCTGCATGCTAAGGGTGTTGCTACACGGTTCTGGGCAGAAGCCATGAGCACAGCCTGTTACCTGATAAATCGCATTTACTTACGCCATGGTATGTTAAAAACTCCCTATGAACTTTGGAAAGGGCGGCCTCCACCACTCAAGTACGTCCATGTGTTCGGATGCAAGTGTTACATGCTGAATGATAGAGAATATCTGGGGAAGATGGATGCACGAAGCGATGAAAGGATCTTTCTCGGCTATGCACAAAACTCAACGGCGTACAGAGTATTCAACCTACGTACCAAGACAGTGCTGGAATCTACGAATGTTGTTTTCGATGAAGAACTTCCAAGGGGTAATGAGAGCATTTCTCTTCTTCCAAGTACTTCTCGGAGTCCTTCAGAACTCCCTGCGGAAAAACCTGAGCTGGTAGTAAAAAACGACACAGAAGAGTTGCTCTCCGACGATGAGAAATCAGATGATTCGATTCCAACGTCTCAAACAACCGTGACAGTTCATCGCAATCACTCTGCAGGTGATCTGATTGGGGATCTGCATAAACCCCGACAAACCAGAGATAAGGCTCGAATCAATTACAGGGATTTGGTTAGATTTGTTTGTTTCAACTCTCAGATCGAACCGAAAAAGGTCTGTGATGCTCTGAAAGATGAATTTTGGGTCCGGGCTATGCAGGAAGAGCTCGAGCAGTTTGCACGAAATGATGTTTGGTACCTGGTACCACGTCCCGAGCATACAAATGTGATTGGAACCAAGTGGGTGTTCAAAAATAAATCGAACGAACACGGTGAGATCATCCGCAACAAAGCCCGGTTGGTTGCTCAAGGGTATACACAAGTTGAAGGGGTTGATTTTGACGAGACTTTTGCACCCGTAGCTCGCTTAGAATCTGTCAGATTACTTCTTGGTGTTGCTTGCAGTTTGAACTTCAAGCTGTATCAAATGGACATCAAGAGTGCATTTCTCAATGGTGTCCTACAAGAGGAGGTTCATGTTGAACAACCGGCTGGGTTTGAGGACCCTCACTACCCTGATCATGTCTTTCGTCTCAAGAAAGCTTTATATGGGCTCAAGCAAGCACCTCGTGCATGGTATGCCCGTCTCACGTCGTTTTTAGTCGAGCACGGGTACAAAAGAGGGGGAGTAGATCAGACACTATTCACTCACAACGAAGATGGAAAATTGATGGTGGTTCAAGTATATGTGGACGACGTTGTGTTTGGATCTGTTTCTCAGAAAAAGGTGGATGCATTCGTTGAGATGATGACAGATGAGTTCGAAATGAGTATGTTTGGTGAGTTGAGGTTTTTTCTCGGGCTACAAGTTAAGCAAAAGGATGATGGGATGTTTGTATCGCAAAGCACATACGCTCGAGGTCTGGTCAAACGCTTTGAACTAGAAGGAAGCAAGTCAGCTAGAACACCGATGTCTACTACAGCAATCCTGACACGAGATGAAAATGGGGAGGATGTTGACACAAAACTGTACAGAGGAATGATTGGAAGTCTACTTTATCTGACAGCAAGTAGACCTGATCTTTGTCTAAGTGTTGGAATCTGTGCGCGATACCAGGCCAAACCTAAGAAGTCTCACTTGCAGGCGGTGAAACGGATCATCAAATATGTCAAAGGAACAGCAGAGTATGGTGTACACTACACTAAAGATACGAGTTGCGAGCTGGTGGGATTCTGCGATTCAGACTGGGGAGGTCACACTGACGATAGACGAAGTACTTCTGGAGGCTGTTTCTTCCTCGGTAACAACCTGGTGGCGTGGCATAGCAAGAAACAGAACTCAACATCTCTGTCCACAGCCGAAGCAGAGTATATTGCTCTGGGAAGTTGCTGCACACAACTTATGTGGATGCGACAAATGCTCTCCGATTACGGTATTGATCTATCCTCTTTTACTGCATACTGTGATAACACTAGTGCCATCAACATTTCGAAAAATCCTGTGCAACACTCACGAACCAAGCATATTGAGATCAGACATCATTTTCTACGGGAACAAGTTGAAAAGAAATCCTTGATAGTTAAGTACGTTCCTACTGAGAAACAATTGGCTGACATTTTTACTAAACCACTGGACATGAACAGGTTCATTTGCTTGCAAAAATCCCTTGGTGTTGGGGAACAATAGTTTTTTTTTGGTGTTTTCTCTCTCAGACATTTCAGGAGAAAAGTGTGTAGGAAAGTAGAGCCAGTAGGTATTATGGTTGTTTTTTAAAATATAAAAAAAAACATTTATCTGATTTTCTTTTTTTTTCCATTTCCGGCTGCCGTCTGTTTCCGGCGGCCGTCCTATAACCAAATCGAATCGAATATTAAATAAGAAAAATTTATTAAATAATATAAATTAATGAACGCCAGGTGTCCTTCACTAGTTCTCAGAAGCATCTCACTAATACAGTAATCGTGATACAGGTTCTGTTACTCCTCTGTCATACCTATTTGAATAAAAAAAAGAAGGGCATATGACATGAGTAAGCTTGCGAGCTACTCGGGTCTAAGTTGTGAAACAGAGCTCTATACGATGGTCTAAGGGCAGTGAGAATCTCTATTTCAAAAAAAAAAGGGGAGATTCCAAATACTCCGCTGGAGGTGGCAGAAAATTGCACCTACATGAGTATATCTCTAAAAGAGATAGTCTGGATCTAAATGGTGGGAAGTCTCTGTCGGTACAACGTCCTAGGAGTTCTGAACCTAAAAGTATGTAAAAGTTAAAAAAAAAAAAAATGGAACAATGATTGCTCTTCATTGGAGAAGCACCTGAGAACATGTGAAGTGCAACTGGCGCAAAGGGTCATTTCAGTGACTTAATCATCTCTATGACAGGTATCTCCGACTGAAACATTTGATTCGTTATGCTGAGCTAATGTTTTCTTTATAGTTTCTTTGGCCTGAATAAAAGAGGTAAATGATACCTGTGAGTGTCTAAGTGGTTCTGTAAAATGAAAAAGCCCAATTGTGACAAAGCGGGAACCGAAAAATTATTAGGGTTTCACGAAATTTTTTTGAAATTTTTCAGTTTTTAAGCGGTTACTCAAATCGGCCCTAATATCTCGCACACCTAACTCACCCATGTTCAAGTTCTTCTCTCTCTCCTGTTTGCTTTAGTAAGAGAAACTGCAGCCTCGCGAAAAATCGTCCATCATGGTGAACAAGAAAGTCGGAAAGAATCTCATGAAAGGAGAGAGACGATCTACACGCGCTACCACCAGACAGGCAAGGGAATCAGGTAACCCTAACCTCTCTGCTATCACTGAGAAATCGCAGAATATGGACCAAGGAGGACATGCTCTTCATGATGCGGGAAAATCATTACAAGAAGAAGAGAAATCGGATTCAGATGTGATGCCTTTGACGACCCGTACAAAGAAGGGCAAAGGCAAGACGAAGAAAGCTAAGCCAAGCACTGTGACTAGTGTGGAGGGATCGCAAGGCCCTGATCAGATCAATGAGAATGTAACAAAGGGTACAACTGAAGAAATTGCTGAAGAAATTGCTGAAGAAATTGCCGAAGACTTAGGGTGGGTACAACTGAAGAAATTGCTGAAGAAATTGCTGAAGAAATTGCCGAAGACTTAGGGCTGAACATGCCAGCGGTTCCCAATCAAGAAGAAAATACAGAATCTACAGAACAAGTTGAACTGGAACAAGAGATCGGGAAAGAAACACTAAGTGAAGAACGCACAGTCACTGAAACTGGTGAAGCAACGCAAGAGGAGACAGGAAAGGGAGCCGATCCTGAGTCTCAATCTCATGAAGGAAGAGTGACTACCTCTGTAAGTTCTGATAACTCGGATAGCCCACTAATCACTCTTAAGCAGAAATCAAAGGCGAAGAAGGCCCTTAAGAAACGGAAAGCTACCTCACACTCTGTGAAGGGGATCTCACGGAAAACGTCACGGACTGCTCAGGGAGTAAGTACTGGAGGCACATCTCAACCACTCATGTCAACTACTGAGTCAGGTGATAAAAGTGTCAAACCTTTCTCTGAAAAATTCCTGTCCTCTGAAACCAAGAAACGGTTCGACAAATTTAAAGGGGTAGAGGTGATAGCCGAGAGGAATGTGAATGTTATGGACTTTCGGAAGCATGGAATATGTGACTTGTTTGAAGAGCGACAACTTACAGGAACCCTGACATATGCATGCTCGTTTAGCAAAGTACTAGTGCGTGAATTCTATGCTAATCTCACTCCAGCAACTGAAGTCTCTGGTGATCCCATGTATCATAAAGCATATGTGAGAGGGAGGTTTGTTGAATTTTCTCCAGGGATCATCAACAGACTGCTTGGAACGCCTGAGAATCTGGATCAGGGGTTGGCGGCTTTCCCGGTTGGTGCAACACTAGAAGACATGGAAGTGGCCCTCACAGGTGAATATGTAGCAGAACGAAATGGGAAGATGTGTATTTCAGATCTCAAATTTGAGAGTCGGGTACTGCAATTAGTTGGGAAAACTAATTGGTTGCCTACACGACGATCCGATGTGATTCAGGACGAACTTGCAATGCTTATCTTTAAGCTATTGCGAAAGGAAGAGATCAATCTGGGCTGCATTGTCTACAATCACATTCTCTCCCGAGCAGCTGATTTGAGAGTTCGTTTTCTCCTACCTTATCCATGTCTCATTCAGAGTCTGATTGTACGGCAAAGTCCTGAAATTTTGGCTGACTCAGAAGTTACAGAAGTAGTTCAACGCCCTCTGACCATCGAAACTCGAATTCAGCAAGCAAGACTGAGTAAAGCTCAACTAAGCAGCAGGACCTTCACTCAATTGTTAAAGCATGACCGTATATTGTTGCAAGTAGAACAGTCCTTGAGGAGGAACGTCAGGCTGCTCAGTCAAATTCGAGCTCAGCAACATGCACTTCGTGCAGAGTTTCAAAGTAACTGTCAGAGCGCTACTCTACTCAGGTATGATTGTTAATCATTTTTCCTTTTCTAACTTTTTGAGGTTCTGTTTAAACACACAGGGGGAGAGTCTGCAACTGCTTCCAACAAAGGAAAAGAGAAGGTAGTGGAAGAACACAGTGACGGTGAGGATGACGATGTTCGAAAGAACTCCGAAGAAGAAGAAGAACGCTTGTCAGAATAGGCTGATTAGAGCTCGAACAGCTGTTCGGTTTTGATCAAGTAGACTTAAGGAAGTTCTAATGCATGTGTGTGTTTTTCTTTTAGGATAATGGCATTGCGTAATCTATGTCATATGTTGTGACTCTATGTGAACTAAGTATGTTTTGTTTCGGATAAATGCTGTATGATTATGGTGTCTCTGTGAGTGTTTTTGTGTGTTCAAACAGAAAGTCAAAAAGGGGGAGAATGTTGGAACAAGGAAACTGCAGGACCATGTGAGCAACAAACAAGTATGGGCAAGACATTGGACAAAGGGGAGCATGGGGCTTCTACATTAAAGAATTAAGAGTGAGACAAAATACATGGGAAGGTGGAGTCCCTTGAGAACAGTGTTTTTGGGGGTTACAATCTGAAGCGTTGCTGTGCGGCAGATATATATATATGGGAAGCGACAGGAAAGCGGGCGTGGAGTTTATGGCTATGGTGAGAACTTTCTATGATTGGTGAGAGTAACTCTGAGTGAATGTGAGGTACATCTGAGGGGGAGTCTTCAATCAAACAGACGAACTGCTCAGTGATTCTAGATGGAGTCTAGAGTGACACGTGGTGTGTGCTTCACACAAGGTGTCTGAGAGTCGATAGAGTTTCTTGTGTATCAGGGGTTTTACTCAGGGGAGTAAAACGGACTGGGTTGAGTGATACTTGTACTTGAGTGAAGTGTATCTGACTCATATCAAAGAAACAGAATCGATGTGATTATTCTCAATCCAAGTTGTTGTGTGAGTATACTTTTTCAAATTATATTTAATTTTAATTGGTTATTATTTATTACTTCTAACGAGGTTTGCACATTTTGAATTGTCATTCGGTTTCAATTTTGTTTCATTATTTTTAAATTATATTCATTTGATATTCATATAAATTTTCTTTAGATCCAAATCTTGTCTGGATCAATTCAATTCTATTTTAATATAAATATTTATTTTTTAAAATCATTTTGTTTTAAATTGTTTTATATTCTATTCAAAATTAAAAGGAAAATAACTTTTTTTATATTTTCTCAAAAAATCATTTATTTGGTTGCTAATAAATATGAATAACAACTACTAAAGATGTTTTTTTATAATAAAATCTAGCGAACTATAAATGTCAACATAGAGATTTCCCTTGAAATATCTACAAAACCAAAATTACAAAATATATGTATTATGGATTAATACAAATTAGTCGGTTGAATAATCTCAAATGAAATCAAAACGAGAATCAAGTAGAACAAATTTTCAATGTTTTCATTAATTACTCAACAAAGGAAAATGTAAATTCAAATTATTAAAGAGAGGCAGTGTCTAGGAAGATGATTAAAGTGATTTTCTTTTTTGCTTTATTTAGTTTGGAGAATATATGGGAAGCACTATGGAGGCAACATGCCACTACCATTTTGTTATCTTTTCAATTAGAACATTTATTGCTCCAAATATAATTATTATAATTATGCTTAAAATTATTCGAATAAAAAAAATCCATTAGAAGGCTAGAAATTGGTGGACCAAAAAAAAATAATTGAAAAGCTTGAAACTTACATAACAAAAATAAAACAAACCAATATTGATAGAATAATCAATTAATCGACTTTATAATTTTTTAATTGATTAATAAATCCAATCAATCATCTCACTCAAGGAAAGGCTTGGAAATTTACTTAAGTTTACCAATTATATTAAATAAAAGTAAAACAACAACAACAAAATAATGCAACAAAATTCATATGATTCATAATAGGGGTACAAATTTTGGTGTGAGGTCCTATCCGATTCAGTCGAAGAATAACAGATTTTGTGTTGAGATATTTAGATCCGAAAATTTGTAGACTTTCGGATCGAATTCAGATCGAATTTCCGGTCAATCCGAAAGTTCGATTTTTTTTTTCAAAAAAATAATAAAAAAAAATTCAAAAAACAAATTTAACGGGTTAACCCGGTTCATCCCGATCCGAAATCTATAGAACTAGACTTGGGTTTAGTTACGTAGAACTAAAAAAATCGGACCAATCCAAATCCAAACGCGAAACCTTTGGACCAGATACGGGCTCGGGTTGGATTAGATCGATTGACACCCTAGTTCTTTAACTTCCTAAAGATTTGCGTGTGTAAAAGTCTGTCTAGTGTTATATAATTTTTTTAATTGTAACGTTTAAGATTCGAAGATATAATGTTTCGAAGAAATAAGAAAAAATATATCATTACCTTTTTTTTATGATTGATTGATGTGGTCATAAAAAGGTAAAAATTAACAATTTATTGAATTGACGGGATAAAAATGTAGAAATTTATGGATTAAATTCAAAAAAAAAATCTACAACAATTCATAGTGGTAAAAAAAAAAGAAACATAGTGGTCAGAATGAATATTTGGTTTAAATTTACATAAAAAAAAAAAATTGGTTTAAATTTAGGGTTCATTTCCGTTTCTTTAGAGTTAAATCACCAAACCGATGTCAAATTGTAAACCGGATCCGGTATAATAATACCATTCAACCGGTTATTGGGGACCGTTATGCAGCTCGACATCGGCAACATCAAACGCGTGGTCTCTTTGCAAACACGGAGAGAGAGAGAGAGAGAGAGAGAGTGAGTGAGAGAGGCCAGCGAAAATGGCGGCTCTGAGACTGCCGGTGAGGCTCATGCATACTTTTACTTGAATCGGATTATAATTCGGTTATTTGTTTTTATTTTTGTCTCTGGATGAGAAATTTGCCGTTTACGCTAAATTTTGATGAATGAAGCAATTTGGTTGATTTTGTTAACTGGTTGAATTTTTCTCTCGTCTTGGATTGGTTGAATCAGTGTTCGTCTCTGGGATCTGTGTTTTCTTGTTAATTAGGGTTTTCAAGCTCTCCACTTGTTCTGATTTAACGGCGGAAAACAACAAGAGAAGGCTGATTGTTCTCGTCGAGACTTTGAAGTTTCGAACTTGGACTTGACTAATCGGTGAAAACGAAATCCTGGTCCTGCTTTTGGAGAAATTGTAATCATTTGAATTCCTAATTACGTCCATGACAATTGGTAATATCTCGCTGCTGAGACAAAGATTAGCTCGGACAATTCAGATTAGGGCTGAAACTTCATCTGGTTTTGCACCTATAGATAAGAATAAACTTGTGTTTTCATTCATTCTCTTTTCATGGAGTCTGTGTTGCTGGTATTCAATCTTCCTTTTGAGTCCTTACGTGAGGAACACTGAAACTGAGATCTCTGGTGATCTGAGACCGAGGATGTTAAGGAGAATCGATTAAGTGGAGATTTTATACGTCGCCATTTTCTTGAATTCCATGCCTCTGGCGGGCAATAAGGTTCTTCAAAGTGCTTCCCTTGAGCGAGAAGATCCCATTGTTCTTGGGAAGGTATAATCCAAGCTAAGCTACACTGTTTTACAACTTGCATCTGACACTTTATTAGCGAGACTCGTGTATAATTTGTTTTTGTGCATTTGTATTCTTATGCTGACCAGGGGTCTAGGCTGGTTCTTCGGGCTACTATTGCATAGAGGTGCATACGTACAAATGATGTGGAAGGCGTCTAGAACTGCTAGACACCATACATTCTTTGAGATGCTTGGTCATTTCGGGTTTTGGAGATTACTTCAAGAAAGAAGCAAAAAAGATGGGCATCGAAGCTTTCCAGAACCGAATATATGGATTACCAGACTATGGACTTTGGGTTAGCATTTAGGAGCACAGCAATGAATCTTTTCATGCCTTGTGAATCTGACTGAGCACAGCCATGATTCTCGGTACACATAGGGGACGACAAAAGCAATCCCAAAGGAGTATTTTTGCCAACAATCCGCTGGAAAAGTGATGTAGTTGGTCACTGGTATTGATTCAGACGTAAAATCGGGAGCAACCTCGAATCCTTGAGGAAATCACATGGGAGGAGCTTCAATTCAAGCAAAAACCCCCTTGAAAGAGGACAAGAGTTGTTTGGCCAAATGCTTCAGGATGCATTTCAACTCTGATGAACCGTCCATATATGATTGCCATATTAAGTTTGAGTAGAGAATTGTAGACAATCTGATTCCTTTTAAACCCTTTTCTTGTGGTGAATGTTTGAATGCAACAGACTAATCCGATCGAGGGATGGACAATGACGCTGATGCAGCGGACTCGTTAAAGAGCATGCCGAGCATCTGATAAGAGCACTAGAAGATCCAGCTGCAGTTGGTACGAGGATCATGTCCAGACAAGGACAAGGTTAGTTTACTTTAGTTTCATCAGATCCATAATCTAAGCTGGAGGAAGAAAACCTAAAAATCTCCCGAGGTTCTTAGAGAAAGGCTGGATCCATTCTTGGTTCTAGCCCATCTTACACAAAAGAAAAGCCCAGTTCACTGTCAGTTCCTCCATTTTTGATGTATAGAGACAAGATCTTGGTAATTGTATATATACATACATTGTTTGCTCACTGAAATCTCGGCTTTGATGTTCCTTTTGGCTCAGGGAAATGATGAGTAGTGTTCGGTAGGTGATAATGATGATAAGGGTCAGATTGACAGCTTCAGATTTGGAGAAGGTAGGCAGGGAGGATGGTGAAAGGTTGAGTCTTTGACTCGGTCAAAGTTAGGATTTGACCCAAAATCAGAAGGAAAAAAAAAACTATGATGGCCTTGACAAAGACACATTTTTTTTCTTCTTCTTCTGAATTTCTTTATGTAAAAGTTGGAATCTTTTGAGAGAACTTGGATAAGTTTAGACTGGAGTTCAAAACAGAGATTCTCATCTGTATTGTACAACATACGTGTCGTTCTATCCTTGCCAAGCTGTATTGTGTGCCGTCTTGACGAAACGCGGGCTCGTCATCATAAAAAAACAACAAGCAGTTCACTACTAGGCAGATAGAAAAGATTGAGGTGGGACCCTCTACGTTAGGATCAAACCCGAAGTCGATACGTGTTAGTGTTTACATGCCCATACGACAGATTATTAAAAAAAATTGGAGAAATTGGTTGATGATGTAAACACTAACACGTATAAAGGAAGATAAATTAATAAATAAATAAATATAAATGAAGATAAAAAAAATACCTACCCAAAATCATGTAACAGCGTCACCATTTTTTTTTTTAAAGTTGGAAACTTGTAGAGGTAATATTCGTTCGCTGTGCTGTGCTTATTTTTGTTTCTTTTATTTGAACCCTAAAGTCTCAATCTTTATTCGTAAAGGCCACAACTTTTAAATCAGAAAAGGGAAAGAAAACTCGAAAACAATCTTGATGGATGGAATAGTGCTGCCCTGTTCTGTCGATATAAACACCCACTTCCTGTCCAACCTGCATCACAAAGTGAGGCAGAAAGAGTTTACTTGAATCACAAGTTCTTTCTCCCCAAAAGAAAACCCTAATCCCCCAACCAAACCCACAAAAAAAATAGCATAATCAAGGCCAAAGAATGGAACTTTCCAAGTCGAGATTCGAAAGGGTTTGTGTGTTCTGTGGGAGCAGCACTGGAAACAGAGATTGCTACAGAGATGCCGCCATTGGATTAGCCCGAGAGCTGGTTTGTGCTTATTTTTCTTTTTGAACTTGCCAGAAGCCATGGAATTCTCAGATGGGTCTTCATTTTTCTGCCGCTGTGACGCAGGTGGGGAGGAAATTGGATCTTGTGTACGGAGGGGGAAGTATAGGGTTGATGGGTTTGGTCGCACGGGCTGTTCATGAAGCCGGGGGAAATGTACTTGGGTAAGTTCATGTGTTTGAAAAGCTTTGGCATTTCTTCGTCTTTAAGCTCTTCCTTTGACAATGGTATCTCACTAATTTGTGTTTTCTCTTTTGTTTCCTTATGACTTGACGGGTGACAAATAAAATAGGATCATACCGAGGACACTTATGATCAAAGAGGTGAGCTTTAACAGTTCATTTTTTTACGTTTCTTTCACGTCCTTTGAAGAATGCATGTGTAGTGCTCAATAGAATGTCTAAATCAAACGTGGCTGTAACAGATAACGGGCGAAACATTTGGTGAAGTAAGAGCCGTCGCTGACATGCATCAAAGAAAGGCTGAAATGGCCCGCCACTCCGATTGTTTTATTGCCTTACCAGGTTCTCTCTCTCTCTCCCCCCTCTCTCTCTGCTGAAGTAGAATTGAATTTTGGTTTCAAACTTCAGAAACTTTGGTCAAGTTTCAAACTTCAGAAACTTCAGATACCATGGCATCGAACTTAAGTTTGGGTGATTGTTTTTTTTCAGGTGGGTATGGAACGCTGGAAGAGCTATTGGAAGTGATCACTTGGGCACAACTTGGCATCCACGACAAGCCTGTAAGTATATTCTCTCTGTCTCTGCCTCTGATTTTGTTGCTGATAAAGTTTTGATCTTTGTTCCCCCTTTTGGACTCTGATCAAATCTATGAGCAGGTGGGTTTGCTAAACGTTGATGGTTACTACGATTACCTCCTCACTTTCATAGACAAAGCCGTTGACGATGGCTTTATTAAGCCATCTCAGAGACACATCTTTGTCTCTGCCCCTAATGCCAAAGAACTTGTCCAAAAACTCGAGGTGGGTACTCACCATCCCTCTTTTCCCCTCAATACAGAATCCAACACAATCTTGAAAAATATGGATTCTCACACTGAATCTCAGTAAATATCTGGAATTAATCTGTTTTTCTTTCTTTGCGGTTCTAGGCGTATGAGCCTGTGAGCAATGGAGCCATTTCAAAGGAGAGGTGGGAGGTGGAGCTTGAGAAAATGCAGCAGCCACAGAAAAAAGCTGCGTTCAGTTCAAATGCGACTTTGCAAACTCAGATAGCTCTCTAGAAGGATTTATTATCAAACCAATGGAGAAAATGTTCGAAAGAAGTTGAAGGAAGAAAGGGGGGAAAGGAAGTGTGTTTGTTTTGGGTCCTCTTATTTGTATCTGCTTTCTTTCTTCTTCCTCTTCCTCTGTTGTGATTTTGTTGTCACTTATGGACCAACCCTACCATGATAATGGCTGTGGTTGAGACTTCAGGGGAGATTTGAATGACAAAAAAGGAAAGCTCTTTTTCTGTTTACTTTTTTTTAAGGCAGAAAAGGGAGAAAAAGGAGAAAACTTTAAAAAAAAATGGTTTGTAAAATTATGATTTCTCTAAGCAGCTTTTCTGTTTTGTTTCCCTCTCTTTTGGACCCAAGGTTTGTTAATTACAAAAAAAAAAAAAAATCAATAGAGTGTTAAGTGGAATGAACAAAAACCTATAAGACAGAAGAACAAACACAGAGCACAAAAGCCAAGAGATCTGTAAAAGGGAACAGTGGCAAATGTCGTTAAACGCAGCAAATCATTGTGAAGAAGCAAACCAAAGTCTTGCTCTTTATCTTTTGGACAGAGTGGTTTTGAATCTTTTGATAATCTTTGATCATTACATGGTCAAGTGTATATTGACTGAGAGATTTATATAAGAGAGGCAAAAAAAAAAAAAAAAAAAAAAC